CCATGACCCCCCCATGACCCCCCCATGACCCTCCCATGACCCCCCCAGCCCCCCCATGACCCCCCCAGCCCCCCTCACCCTCTCTGCCCCCCGGGCCCGGGCCAGGTCCCCGGGCAGGGCCCCCCCCAGCGCCGCCCCCAGCACGGTCAGGCCGCGCCCCCCCCCCTGCAGCTGCGCCGCCAGCGCCACCAGCTCGGGCCGGGGGGGGGCGCGGGGGGGTCCCCGGGCTTGGACAGAACCAACAGCTGCGGCCTGGGGGGGACAGAAACGGGGTCAGGGGGACACGGGGGGGACACGGGGGGGCTCAGGGGGTCCCGGGGGGGCTCACCTGAGGCTGGGGGGAGGGGGCCGTCCATCCTCCAGCCGCAGCAGCGCGAACCGGGCGGCGCTGAGGGAGAGCCCCCGCAGCCCCTCCCCCCACTCGGTCTGGGCGCTGCGGGGGGGGGCGGGACCCCCAGGTGAGGGTCAGACCCCCCAGGTGAGGGTCAGACCCCCAGGTGAGGATCAGACCCCCAGGTGAGGATCAGACCCCCCAGGTAATGGTCAGACCCCCAGGTGAGGGTCAGACCCCCCAGGTAATGGTCAGACCCCCAGGTGAGGGTCAGACCCCCAGGTGAGGGTCAGACCCCCCAGGTAATGGTCAGACCCCCAGGTGAGGGTCAGACCCCCAGGTAATGGTCAGACCCCCAGGTGAGGGTCAGACCCCCAGGTGAGGGTCAGACCCCCCAGGTAATGGTCAGACCCCCCAGGTGTGTCCCTGTCCCTGTCCCCAGGTGTGTCCCCAGCCCCCAGGTGTGTCCCTGTCCCCCCCAGGTGTGTCCCTGTCCCCAGGTGTGTCCCCAGGTGTGTCCCTGTCCCCTCACCTGCGGAACTCCAGGTATTTGTAGGCGGTGGCGCCGATGCCGAGGGCCAGGAGGGCGCAGTGCCAGCAGGTGACCAACATGAGGGACAGGCAGAGCACGGCCCCGGCCAGGGACACCGCCCTGGGGACAGGGACAGGGGACAGGGGCACCGCAGGTCACTCAGGGTCCCCCAGGGTCACTCAGGGTCACTCAGGGTCACTCAGAGGTCACTCAGGGTCACTCAGGGTCACTCAGGGGTCACTCAGAGGTCACTCAGTGTCCCCCAGGGTCACTCAGCACTGACCAGTGGTAGAGCGGGCAGCGGGGGCTCCAGCCGGGGGTGGGCAGCAGCCCCTGCAGGGCGCAGGCGAGGTTCAGCCCCAGGTACGAGGTCAGGCACAACCTGCGGGGGCACTGACGTCACCGCGCCGCCGTGACGTCACGGGGCGGGCGATGACGTCACGGGGCGGGGACACGCACACGGACAGCACCGGCGCCAGCAGGTCCAGCGAGCCCAGCAGCACCCCCAGCGTCGCTGTCACCAACGTCGCCAACAGCGGCCACAGCCGGCCCCGGGCCAGCGCCTGCGGGGACACCGAGGGGACGTGAGAGGACACGGGGACAGCCCCAGGGGACGTGGGGACAGCCTGGGGACAGCCCCAGGGGACATGGGGACAGCCTGGGGACAGCCCCAGGGGATGTGGGGACAGCCCAGGGGACAGCCCAGGGACACCCCTCGGGGACACTCACGTGTGGCAGTGGCAGTGCCCGTGTCCGTGCCAGCCCCCGCAGCAGGCGGGACCCCCCGAGCAGCGCCTGCAGCCCCGCCCCCACCGCCGACAGCAGCGCCCCCAGCACCGGCACCCAGGGCCAGGGCCAGGCCACCGCAGCCAGCACGGGGACACCGCCCAGCGCGGCACCGAACCTGCGGGGACACGGGGACAGCGTGGGGACAGCGCCCGGGGACACGGGGACAGCGAGGGGACAGCGCCCGGGGACACGGGGACAGCGAGGGGACAGAGTGGGGACACCGGGACACTTTGGGGACACTGCCTAGAGACACTCTGGGGACATTGCCCAGGGTGACACTGCATGAGGGAACAATGCACGGGGACAGCGGGGTCCCAGTCCGGCCACCAGGACCCACCGTGGGACATTGCAAACGCCACAAGGGACCCCGCTGGGGACGCCAGGGCCCCCCCGGTGACATCGGGGACCCCAGACTCACTTGTCCCGCAGCAGCTGCCCCTCCACGCCGGCCCCCAGCAGCAGCGCCGCGCTCAGGTCTGGCCGTCAAGGAAAACCCAAAACC